GGCGGGGGGGGGCGGGGGGCGGCTTTTCTCGCCGCGGAGGACGCGGGCGGCGGGACCGCGGCGCGTCTTGGCGGTCCCGCCACCTGCGTCCTCTGCGGTGAGAAAAGTCTGGTCTGCTGGGCAGGGGGGCGCCCCCAGCAGACCAGGGAGACGCAGAGCAACTTTTCTCGCCGCGGAGGACACGGGCTGCGGGACTGCGGCGCGTCTGGGCGGTCCCGCCGCCCGTGTCCTCCGGGGCGAGAAAAGCCCCGTTCGTAAGTAGGATCCGTGTAACCCGGGGACTGCGTGTGTGTGTGTGTGTATATAAAAAATTATTTGTTAGTCTCAGAGATGCTACAGAATTTCTAGGTTGTTGTTTTTTTTTTTTTTTAAACAAACTGGCTTACATTTAACAAAAACTAGTCATTTGAAAGTTGTGTACTGAGCCTGCATAACAGACATTTTTAACACTATGGGTGCACTTAAGGACAGAGCTAGCTGCCACTTTCACAGCCATGAGTGGCTGAGAGGGTAGATGAACTAACATGCTGTGGATCTGTGAAGTGTGCTGAAGTGGCTTTTGCAATAGCAGTCCCTCATTCTGGAAAGTGGACAGGTTTTTCACATGGCTTCCCCTGAAAACTGGTATTTTCAAGGAACGCACATTTATTTACGAAAGGTTAAAAGTCTGTTCATGAAATGTAAAAAGCTGTTTAGGTTTTGAGTCAAGAAGAATCTATAATCCAGGGCTAGGGTTTCCGGCTCAGTCACACTGGATGCCATTGCTGCAAATGTTGTCTGGTCCAGGAGAGTTGGCAATCCTATCTAGGGCTCACTCTTAGTTCAACAAGCAAAACACAATTGCTTACAATTTCCACTAGCTTCATTTTATATCTTCTCCTCTAAGTATTATCTATTTACAGTCTAATCTACTTACAAAACAGTAAATGAAGTGCAAACAAATAAATTGTGCTAAGTTTGCATAATTAATTACAAAAGGACAGGAAATACAAAATGTAAACAACCAAGAAATACAAAATGTAAACAACCAACCACAATATAAATCTGGCTGCATATACACGTCCCATTTTTCTATTACTGTTTATTAGCATGAAAAGCTTAATATCACTGTATATGTTAAATATAAACTGTAAACTATATAGGATTCTTGACAAGACTGAGTTTTGGATGCAGCTTTTTACATTTCCTTTTTGTCACTGAAAATATGGAATTTCAACATTGTACTAACACACAAGTATTTTGGGGGGTATGGTTTCCCACTTAATCTATGCAAAGCAAGTACACTCACTTGAAAAAGAAGGTCTTTCATCTGGATTTTGTGCCCATCCACTTGTCATTAATGTTACAATTAGTACTCGGTGGGGCATGTCCATTGATAAAGTTTCTTCACTAATGTCTGGTCGCTTTCCTTGTGACACACTATACATAATCTGCAAGGGGTTTATAACTTCTGTCAAAATAGATATCAGTCAATTATTAGAAATATATGTTTACTATAATATTTAGGGATGTTCTAATTCTGCCAAAATAACTGAATAATTTTTACAGTGTCAACAAAAATATTGGAAAATTTTAAAAAAACAACAAATAATCTTGTAGCACCTTAGGGTATGTCTACACTACCCTCCTAGTTCGAACTAGGAGGGTAATGTATGCATACCGCACTTGCTAATGAAGCCCGGGATTTGAATTTCCCAAGCTTCATTAGCATAAGCGGGGAGCCGCCATTTTTAAATCCCCGCTGCTTCGAACCCCGTGCAGCGCGGCTACACGGGGCTCGAACTAGGTAGTTCGGACTAGGGTGCCTATTCCGAACTACCGTTACTCCTCGTGAAACGAGGTGTACCGGTAGTTCGGAATAGGCACCCTAGTCCGAACTACCTAGTTCGAGCCCCGTGTAGCCGCGCTGCACGGGGTTCGAAGCAGCGGGGATTTAAAAATGGCGGCTCCCCGCTTATGCTAATGAAGCCCGGGAAATTCAAATCCCGGGCTTCATTAGCAAGTGCGGTATGCATACATTCCCCCGCTAGTTCGAACTAGCGGGGTAGTGTAGACATACCCTTAGAGACTAACAAAACAGGTAGATGTTATCATGAGCTTTCGTGGGCATAAAGCTCATCATACCATCTACCTGTTTTGTTAGCCTTTAGGAGTGCGTCTACACAGCAGCGTTATTTCAGAAAAATGGCTTTTATTCTGAAATAACAATGCAAGCATCTACACAGCAATTCTGTTATTTTGAAATAAATTCAAAATAACTAATGGCTTATTCTGACTTCTGTAAACCTCATTCCATGAGGAATACCACCTATTCTGAAATAGCTGTTTTGGAATAGCAGTTGCGTGGACACTTCATTGCTGCTATTTTGAAATAACTCTTCCCCAGAGCCATTCAAAGTAATTGCTCTCCAGTGCCTTCTGTGGCTCTCAATCAAGGTAGCATGTCCACATTAGGGGAGCCTGCCTCGGACTAATTTTGAGGCTTCCTATAGATGTGCTATTTCAAAATAAGTTATTTTGGAGTATTTGTTCTCCAACAGCTTATTTTGAAATAAGCGTGCAGTGTAGATGTACCCTAAGGTGCTAAAAGACTATCTGTTGTTTTTTAAGATTTTCCAGTTACAGACTAACTTGGCTACCTCCTGAAGCTTTTGAACAAAAATATTGTTCTTACGTTTGGATTTTGTTAAAATACACAATCTGCAAAACAAAAGTAAAATAGAGGCTAATTTAAAAAGTAAGGTCTATACTGTGATTGGATTTGTGATAAGTTGACATAGTAAACACTAAAATTGTGTTTTCAGAATACTATGCATAGGCTTTAGCTAAAAGTAAATAAAGCAATAAAATAATTAAAACTAAATAAAACAGTCTCACCTTCAAAGGGCTGTTTTCTTGACATCACTTCCCACATAATAATGGCATAACTGTTCAAGTAAAAATACGCACTCAGCATCATACAAAACATTGATTTAAAATAATGTGGTGCATAATACCACCTTAAATAGCTGACTATAATGATGGTTTTCATAATATGTATGAAGGGGTAAAACAGAGATATTACTAAGTAAGGAACAATATGTATAGCTGACATTATTTATGGTGGCCACATGTGCCTTTGAAAAACTAAAGCTCAGAGGTTATAGGTTTAGGATCTCACTGACTTCATACTAAAAAAAAAATCAAAATAAAAAGTAAAGAGCTTTTTTCTAACTGCTAGCCCTTTCAACTCATTCTGGGCTCTCACACTCTCTTTCACAGACCTGGTACACACTATAGAATAGCTCCATAAGGCAGCTCACATTGACCTAACCATGTAAGTGTCTACACTGCAATTTTCTTCCCACTGATTTAACACACTGAAGCAACCTGGGGATTGTATTCACTCTGTTTTCTTGTTATGTGGCATGTGATTTCTACTGCCCTGTACTGTTCCGTAGTAACGCCGTGTGTGTGCCTCAGCTTCCTTGGGCACTGAACCAATTCTCGGATGGGGATTGAAGCTTTGGGTGTGACTCTCACTGAGGGGAGGATGCCCCAGGCTACCCCAGCCTTGCTTATACACAATGACCAAGGTTCTCTGTAACCTGAGCCTCGGTGGCGGGGTGCAACTAAGTAACACCTTTTGCTCAAGTAGCTGGACAAAGGAGGCGGCAGGGCTGGGACTGGTTTCTGAGCACAAGTGAGTCTCAGCTGGCTTAGGATACAAGGAGGAGGCCTTGAGTCTGGGCCCCCCTTTCCCCTAGAGATGGATTGTGCTGACTGTATCCTTGTGCACTAATAAAACCTTCTGTTCTACTCTCCGGATGAGTCTCACATCTGGTTGTATCAGAGGCTGCGGCGTCGGCCGCTAGGTGGGAGCTGATCTGCAAGGGGAGCCATTTTAAAAATCAGAGGCAGCAGTTCAAGGTGACAGCAGCTCCTGTCCTTGGGGAAAAAGTAGGGGGAGGGGGGCTGAGCTCCCAGACCCAGCACAAGCTGGAATTCAGCTGGGTTTCCTGCCCTCCAGGTTTCTAATACACTTTAAATGCAAAGCCACAGCAGGGTTAGGTCCCAGAGCCAGGACTGAGTTGGGCTCCTGGCAAGCCTGCTAAAAAATTTACTAGGGGAGGAGAGAAGGGCAGGGAATGCATGTAGTCTATAGTATTATCCTATAAGCTTCTGCTTATCGGTTAATCAACTAAACTATTACATCCCTAGTTCATCAGGCCACCATCTGTCCTTAGTTACACCAGTGCAAAGCATTTAAATAGACTGAAGGGGAAACAAGGATAAAAATTTGGTCCTGCAACTGGCACTCAGCTAATAATTCAATTAATTATGGGCAAATCAGTTCTCAAGATATGCATGTGTTACCCATGCAGTGTTAGCAGGAGTGAAAAGTAATTCAATACATACTTTTATCCATAAAATACGCAGTTGGGACACTGAATATAAACTGTGATTGGTTGGGTTAGGTGTCATACATGCCCTATTCACTCTGCAGAGAAATACCTTCAGGAGACCACCTAGAATGACTAAGCCTAAGTGTGTTCATAGATAAATCAATGGCACATTCCCCGCTAATCTCAGTAGAGTAACTGAGGCAAACTTTTACAGGAGTCACAAAGATTCCTCCCTGCCAGGAAGGCCTAACAGCATTCATACAGATGAATGAAGTCAACCACAGCCTGGGAAACCACCAACATCGCTCTGGGATATGACAGAACTAAACATCCTCATTTCTTTCGGTGACATTGTAGCATACATCTTCCTATTCCTTTGGCTCATAATCTTCTTTCTCTAACCACATCTCTCTTCCTTCCATTGTATAACTTGATTTGCTTCTGTTCCCTTTTTCAATATGCCATACTTATGTAGCCTTGCTGGTCCCAGGATATTGAAGTGGCTAAGGCTAAAGTTTGTATTCACTAAATACAAATTGAAACAGATTTTTTAGCATAGGTAGTTAGTAATTACACAATCTGTTCCAACTTGTATTTAGCTGTGATGCTCACAGCATCTTTCCCAAAGAAGTCCTCTTTAGTTGGAAAGCTTGTCTCTCTCACCAGCAGAGGGTGGGCCAGTAAAAGATATTATCTCAGTCACCCTTTTTTTAGGGCCTGTTTTATTCTCCCGTCATCTCTCTCCCTTCATCCATCTATCTTCTCTCTTCCTTTGGTTTGGGTTCTCTCCCTTCTTTCCAGCCATGTTCTGAATGTCTTCCTCCTCTCTTCTCAATCTCTCCCTCCTTCCTTGTCTCCTCATTCCAAACTTCTTTTTCAGCTTTCTTTCCCCCTACTCTTCCTCTCTCTGTTCTCCTCAAAAACCTCTTTAGGCTTTGCCCATACTAGTAATAAATGCTTTAATATCTCTCTAAAACCATAAGAGGGCCTGCTACAATATGCCATACGCTCCTGAGTTTTCTCTCTCATTGCGCCCAACTATAGTTGGCAAAAGGTGAGAATCACAGGGATATTCTCTCTCCCTGGACTGTTGATAGAAAGCTAGATACAGGCTGGATCTCCCAAAACTGGAACTCCATTATCCAGCAATACCCGTGGTTTGGCAGAACCACAGGTGTTGCTGGACCAGGGAGTCCTGGCTGGGAGCCCCAGTGGAAAGAGGGCTGGCAGCTCAGAGCCGGGTGGGGCTGGAACTGGCGCTGGAGCCCCGGGAGTGCAGCGTGGGTCGCGGCAAGCCCAGTAACAGGGCTGCGGATGTGGAGGTCATAGCAGCCACAGTAGCGGGGCTGGTGCCAGAGACGCAGCAGCCCCAATAGCGGGGTCGGGGCTGGAGACGCAGCAGCCATGGCAGCCCCAGTAGTGGGGTCAGGGCCAGGGCCAGAGATGCAGCAACACTGACAGCGGAACTAGGGCCAGGGCAGCGTGGATTGCCAGGGCCGGGGCTGTAGTAGCACGGCAGTCCAGCGTGGGACGGAGGAGAAGGGTGGGGCCAGCAGTGGGGAAGGAAGGTGGTCTGGGGAGCCGGTAGCCAGGGACTGATTGCCAGGGCCGGGGCTGTAGTAGCACGGCAGTCCAGCGTGGGACGGAGGAGAAGGGTGGGGCCAGCAGTGGGGAAGGAAGGTGGTCTGGGGAGCTGGTAGCCAGGGACTTCGTCTGGTCCAGCAAATTCTCTTGTTCGGGACCAGTTAGGTCCTGAGGGTGCCGGACCAGAGAGGTCCAACCTGTACTTCCTGTGCACCTCAAAGGGAAAAACTAATTATGGGAGTTAACTCTTTCTCTTCTGGAAGTCCAAACGTTGGTTTGGAAGCTATTAAAGTTTCACTGAAACTGGATTCTCTCTTACCATTGCATCTATATGCCTACAATAAGAGTTCTACAGTGACAGAAATACTAGATATTTTAAAAAATATGAAAATCATGGAATCCATGACTCAAGCAGTAAAAAAATGCAGCCTTAACAGATATGCTAAAAACTAAGCTTGACGCCAACAGATCATCTGCCAACTGTTAACTATCACTTCAACACAACCCCCTCCTTTATCACTTAGATAGGCTTTAAGATGGTACCTTCCGAGTTAGTTTGTTCAGCATCTCTTACACTTTAGAAAGCAACTGCTGATTTTTCTTTAGTAAGTAGCCATTACTCTACATGTGCCTTTTGAAAGCGTACTGGAGTTGTTCTCCTTGGATTTCTAAATGGTGAGGAATTCCTGTATGATCTATACTGTTTTTGCCTACCCTTTCTCCTGAACTTTTAAGTTAGTGTTTCTTTCTCTCCCTCCATGACTGTCGTGCAAATTACACTAATCTTTGGACATTAGCTACAGACTTCACTCAGACTTTAGGTGTGTATAGTTTATCTGAATGCCTGCACCTTTATTTTGCAACCCATTCTTTCTTTTCTCATTCCTGAAAGCATCTTCCTTTTCAACAGGGTAATTCCATTCCTTGCAAGCCTGGTTTGTGGGTTCTTCAGAAAAAATAATACTGGGTTAACTCCAATCAAGCTCTTTTGTCTAGTTATTCTGGTTTTACCCTCAATCTCTGTGCATTATGCTTATCCTAATGTTTGGTAGGGAACAGGCTTTCAAAAAAAATGTACTTTATCCATTTAGTCCCTAAGAATAAACTCCGTTGGCAATTTTCACTCTTCAGTTGTGCAGTGCCCATTGTAGGAGAACAGGCAGTACCTGTATATATCATGCTTTACACTCGCACGAGTTTTCTGACTGGGATTATAGTCTTCAGGGGGCATGTAGATAATAGTCCCTCCCTCTGGCAGAGATTTGTCACCTCGTGATTGTGACGTGGACACCATGCGCCATTTCGATAAACCAAAATCTGCAATCTGGTAAAGAACAAAAATCTGTCATTCTGAAAGAGCAACAGGTACCATCTATCCACTGTAGTTAATGCAATTTGTCAAAAAGAGAACCGAATGAAGAGTTTAAAACCTTTGGTCCCCTTTGAAATAAAAGCAGCTATAATATTCTGCTAGTTACAAAAACCACCAACACTCAGAAAATGTTTCCAAATCAGAGTTTGAATTGTCACCACAGTATTATTATTATTATGATGTTTACATTGCAGTAGCACTGAATGGCCTTAGTTGAGGATCAGGACCGCACCATCATAGGTGGCGTACAAACAGAATAAGAAGATATTCCTTCCCACCACTTGCTATGGGCAAGAACTCCATCTACTGAAGTCCCTGCTTTGGCTATAGAATTCACCCCTTCTTTTAAAAAAGCACTTCAGAATATCAGCTTTCATTTAAAAAAACCCAAACACTTATGTTTCTAGCCATTATGATTGGAAAGAAAATTTTGAAACATTACTCAAAGTATAAAATGATGCAGAACTATCCAAAGACAACAGCTCAGGGATGGGACAGTTCATGCCATCTCAGAGTGCCTTGGACCTTATAATTCTACAGCTGTGGAATCTGGTATTTTCCAAGAGATTATGGAATAGACTCTGAAATTTGCCATTTTGCTAAAGACAGGTTCCCAATATTTTGCTTCCTGTCTCCAGGTCTGGCTGGGACATACATGAAATGGATTCTTGCTCTCTAGCCCTCCCTACAAGCTAAGAGTTCATTAGCTTGCAATGCATGCAGCTGTGACAGGGTGTTCATCCTACACTTGCCTTGAAGGGGGTTAATGGAGACCAGAATGGTCAATTAATCTATTAGACCAAGAGGAAAGCCCACCTGTATGGGAACAGGCATGGGTTTTAGAAAACTAGGGAGCTGACAGCAGAGAGGGATTCTGAAGTCACTCCTTGGGAGAAGGGAGGGATCTATAAAGACAAATAGCCCATGGTTGCTCTCTGGGAGGAGGAAAGAGAGACTAGCAAGCCCCAGAGAGACAAGGAATAGTACTGGTATAGGAAACAGCTCAGGGAATAGCAAGGCAGAGGATCGAACAGACCTTGGCAGTAAAAACCCAGGGAAGAGAGCAGGCCTAGGTTCCTCTAACCTGCCAAGAGGAACTGACATAGACCAGGCAGTGATTCTGGAGACTGATCACTATGGGAGTGACAGCAACTTTGCAGGCCTATACCCCAGAAGGGGGGGAACCCAGAGTGACTTGACTGGATGTCTGAGTCATGCAGAAGACAGGTGTGGCTGAGAGAGAAGCTGCAGAGGAGAAACTGATGGTGTGTAACTGCTAGAGGGGGTACTGTTGTGACCTAGCTAATTCCCAGAACTGCCAAGAGGTGGCATCATCCTGCAGTGAGTAGAGCAACTTTTCACAGCACCACATACTGTTCCATGGAACCAGGCAGCAGAAAATCAGGGAGAAAGAGCTGGAGTCCAGCTTCCAGTATGGAGGAGAGGGAATTAGCAGTGTAGGCTGGCCACTTGGGACACCTAGAATTCAGTGCAGTGGCCAAGGCATGGAATCAAAAGAGACGAAGCCTTTAACAAACTCCCCACTTCCCAACACATCCGAGAGAGGGAAAAATGGTTCTGATTAAGGTTGTCTGGACATTGCAACAGCTGAGACCTATGGATATAAACTTCCTGGAGAATACAGGAAAAGAGTAAAAAAAATAATTGGTGGTATGTCACTGACTGGGATATAGTTGTTTGTAAGACAGGTCGAAGTAAAGGAAGAATATTTAGGTAAACAGAATAAATTAAGGTGCTTGTAATGGATTTGATTTCACTGCATCATGGAGTATCACAGTTAATCTTTTATATTCCTAATTTACATACTGTATTGGTGTGTGTCTGGTCTCATTTAGTAATTTAAGCCTTAAGAAATCTTACTCATTCAGCAGATTTCTGATGGAATCAGACACACACACTATGTGACTGACACAAATTTTACACAGTCAGTACTTCCTTTTTTTTATAACACATAGCAGATGTACTGCTACTTCAATTTCCTGCCAGTTACCCAAATTTTAGTTTCACTCCACCCAAAGGCAGCTCAAATAGACAGCTTGTTAATAAACAATGAGCAAGTGACCCCCACAGAAAGCATATGTAGAAAAATGTCTTACATTACTTACAATGTTTAAGTATGAACCATTCAAATTTAATGCAAAACATCTCTCTCAATTACTGTAACAGTAAATGTTTCAGATCTTACATTTCAAATTTTCAAAGTGCTGATGAAAGAAAAGTTCAGGACACTTTTTTGTTTCTATTCAAATTATAAATACAACCAACAAATGGATTCTTCATCACCAATACTTCCTTCTCTTGGCCTTTGAATTATAGCCCCAAAGTAAACCATTGAAGTTAAGTAGGCTGAGAAAAAAAATCATATGTTTTGTGTTCTATCTTAAGGTGAATATACAGCCTAACAAGACACCAAAGCCTCGATCATTCATACCCTCACTGATTCTCTTTCTGGAAGTATTTTCCAGATAGGTTTCTCATTCCCATACTATCAAATCCAACTTAAAAATATCTGAAGAGATGTTTTAAGGCTACATTAAGTGCTGATGGCAATGAATGGCAATTTGGAAACAAGATATGACATTGTATAATTACCGTGTTGCTAGGGATGAGAAATCCACCAGGGCCTTCCTGAGCATCTCTGACTTCAGAACTGGAGCAGTCCCTTGCAGGGATTTCTACTCTGAAATAGGGATCTTAGATATTGTGTAACTGAATAGTCACGTAACCGCATGAAATCTTAGCGGCTACAAGACTATTCGATAGTCCTTGAGGGCGGGGCCAGCAGCCAGTGTGCACCCAGTCCCACTCCCCGGAAACCTCCTGCCACCTCGCACTGCTGCCTCTGTATCAGAAGCAGCAGCGCGGGGTGGCAGGTGGGAGCCAGTCTGGCAGAGGAGCCAGTTTAAAAACCAGATCTCCACAGACACGGGCTGCTGCCATGGACCAGCTTCTATCTGCAGCGGGCTCAGGTTCACCGAGGACAGGGGCTGCTTTGTGGTAGCCTTCACCTCCACCCCCACCCATTGCTGCCCCTTATAGATGCTACAGCGCGGGGGGGAAGATGGCACCAGCTCCTGCCTGTCCCCCCCCTCGCTGCCTCTGTAGGAGGCAGCAAGGGTGAGGGCAGGTGGGTCCATGGAGCTGGCACGCACAGGGAGCCTGCTTGAAAGCCAGCTTCCCATGCACATCAGCTTCAGCCTGACCACCTCACTGTCCACGCTGCTGCCTCTCTGTCAAAGATCGGGGTACATATGGAGTCGGTGCTCATGGGGAGCCTGCTTAAAGCCAGCTCCGCATAGGCATTGGCCCCCGCTCCCCTCCTTGCTGCCTCTGGTACAGAGACAGCGGGGGGGGAGGCAGAGGGGGGAAATGTGTGTAAGTCGACAAACTCAACCAATAAGTAAAGGATTATTAGTTAATCATATAGTCGACAACACGTTGACAACCCTACTCTGAAAAGGCCACATTAAGGATTATTCTGAAGGACTTTCCTAAGAAAGTGTTACTACTTCAGAATATTGATCACCGCTTTGATTTTTTTGCATTGCCTAGTTATATTTCTAATTCCTCTCCATTTTGCTACCATGTACTACCATTTTGTTTATCTTAACCCTGCTTTATTATAGTACCTCTAATCCCTCTTCTCTGTAACTAAACCTGTGAAATCACTACTTCCATGTTAATTTTGGTGTGAATTTGTTTATTTCCCCTAGGTATATTCCTTCAGATACACACAGGTTCTCAGTTACATTTCTCATCTATTAACATTGATTCATTTCATCTGTATGGTTTACTGTATGGGCCAACATTATGGAAAGCTAGTGTGGCTGCTTAAGGCTAGGAAACTTCAATTGCATTGATGTAAGTCAACCTCTGTTTCTGTGGGGAACCTCACTGAAGATAATGGGGCTCTGCCTAGAACAACAGAACTGGAATATAAGTTTGTCTCTTCCTATCACCACCCCTTGTCTGCAATATTAACAATATTAATTAATAGTTCCTTTATGCTCATTCTTGAGGAACATAAGGATTAAAATAACCAGGACCTTACCTTAACATGAAACTCACTGTCCAATAAAATATTCTGTGTCTTCAAATCATGATGCAGCAAGGGAGGGCTCATATTGTGTAGATAATTCACTCCCAAAGCAATTTCATACAGAATACGGAATCGCAGTGACCACGCAATGTCAGGATACACATTTTTCTACCAAAAAACCCCCAAAACAAAACAGCAAAATCACAATATGAACATCCATCTTAAATAATCCAATAAAAATCTTTGAGTTAGAGGAGACATACTTTGTTTTTTTACATGCATCTTGCATTCACAAATTTAAAAAGTGATGAATCATGGAGTGATTGGTTTCAATTTATATATGTGTTGTAATATTATGACATATTTAATCACTCACAGTGCTATGTTCCTGTTCTTTAGCAATTATACCTTATCACTTCATGAGCATTACATATGCTGTGTTCTTAATACACATATTGTATGACCTTGTGATGAGGATAAAGCGACAGATAAGATTTAAATATTAATATCAGACTCAGAGTGCTTTACATTTTACAAAGGCTGCCCTACCACATTTTCTTGATTTCTCTTCAGAGATGCTAATCAGAGTGACTGCTCATGGCTGTAGGTTACCACATGGGTGGGTTTTTCTGTTATTTTTAAAGCAAGCCTATTTTATTTTTAAGGTAAAAGCATTACAGAGAAAATTTGTTAAAATAATCACAGGAAAACCCTACATTCATTCTTATATGACAAGCAATCACTCAACCCTAACTGAGGCTCTGGCAGGAACAGTGATTCACCTATACCCCAAAAGGTTTTCCCTCTTGTTTCAAGTTCATCTCACCATCAGATCAGAACAAGCACACTGTCTTATGGGGCCTCAGCAGACTTAGTCTCTGCAATCTTTTCCTAAAAGGCCGTGTCCAGACTCAGGGGTTTTTTCGGGAAAAGTAGCCTTTTCCCGAAAAAACTTCCCCTGCGTCCAGACTCAAGCCGCGTTCTTTCGAAATTATTTCGAAAGAACGCGGCTTTTCTTTCGATGGCGGTAAACCTCGTTTCACAAGGAAGAACGCCTTCCTTCGAAAGTTCCTCTTTCGAAGGAAGGCGTTCTTCAATGTAAAGAGGCCGTCTTCGAAAGAGAGCATCCAGACTCGCTGGGTGCTCTCTTTCGAAAAAGCGGATTTCCTCTATCGAAAGATCCGCCTGCTGTCTAGACGCGATCTTTCGAAAGAGGCTCTTTCGAAAGATGCTTTCGAAAGAGCTTCTTTCGAAAGAAGCCTGCAGTCTAGACATAGCCAAAGATTGGGACCTCTATGCACCAGAGATCCAGTCCATATACTGAACCAGGAAGAAGACCCTGAACCAAGATATTTATTCAAATGACTTAGTCCACAGAGAATCCCTTTTACATTATGCAGACCTCACTAGGGGCTGACTTCAAAGGGGCTCATAACCAGAGGAATTACATTGGCCTCCCCCTCCTCCTAGAAAACTGACATACAATTAAACAATACATATACACAATTGCATTTTAACACAATGGACCCCAAAGGTATTAAACCTAATTCAATAAAGTTTACAGAATTAAATTAAACCTTACTCTAATTCCATAAAGATTGTGCAGGATATTGTTAGTCTGTTGCATGTTGTACTTACAATGCTTCCAAGATATGTGAAAAAAATCATACCTTTTTTGTGTCAGTCCCAAAAATGTATTGGTGTTGTGGTCATTGTTGATTTTTAACCTTATTAATTGTACACAGGCCTGAAAATCATTTGCTTTGGCTTGCATCTCTCCACAGGTATGTGATAGCAAGTTGATGTTATCTGCAAGGAATTCCTCTAACTTCTGTTTGAAAATTCATTGTATACCTTTTTATCTGTGGTTTCTCGCATGACCTGATCCTCTACCAGTAAAAAGATCATGGGTGACAAAAGACACCCTTAAAAGTCTCAGGGGGTAGCCATATTAATCTGTAACTTTAAAAAAAAAAAAAAAAGAGTAATCTTGCAACACCTTAGAGACTGACACATAATATATATATTATCATGAGCTTTTGTCAGCAAAACCCACTTCCTCAAATGAGAGTGGGGAAAAAAGGAAAAATCTCCCAATATATAACAAAAAAAGAAGGGTGGGTGGGAGAAAAAAAAACCCCTGTCAATTGTAGTGCTGGTGCTACAGAGGCTACTTGAATGGGCTGTAAGTGTCCCATACTTAGCTTTTGATGCCATTCGGTTGTTGAATATAATGGCCCACCCAGTTGATGTCTTTGTTAAGTCCCATAGAGATGTTAAATTTGCATATGAAGGCCAGTTTCACAGTTTCTCTCTGTAGATGGTTCCTGAAATTCCCTTGTAGAAAAATGGCTACTTTTAAATGACTGTCCAGGTAGGTTAAAATGTGCTCTTATAGGTTTTTGTGTATTACCATTTCTGATATCCAACTTGTGTCCATTTAACCCGTCGTCGTAGAAACTGTCCAGTTTGGCCACTATACGTGGCAGAAGGGCATTGCTGGCACTTGATAGCATATATATCTAATATATATATTAGAGGATGTGCAGCTGTATGAGCCTCTGATGTTGTGACTTATGTGGTTAGGTCCATTGACAGTGTTGCTATTATAGATGCGTTGCCAGAGTTGGCAATGGGGTTTATTGCAAGGGTAGGTTCCGGGTGAGTATATCTTAGGTGTGATGCACAATTGTTGGAAAGAATCTGCTTCAGGTTAAGGCGTTGTCTATAGACAATGATTGGCCTGTCTCCCAAGGCCTGTGAGAGTGAGGGATCGTTTTCCAGAAAAGGTTGCAGATTGTTAATGATGTGCTGGAGGGGTTTAAGTTGGGGGCTGTAAGTGATGAGTAGTGGTGTTCTGTTATTTTCTTTGTTGGGCCTATCTTGAAGCAGATGCCGGGGTTCTTATCTGGCTCTGTCAGTCTGTGTTTTCACTTTCCTAGGTGGGTATTTAAGTTTTAAGAATGCCTGATAGAGATCGTGGAGGTGTTTGTCTCTGTCTGTAGGACTGGAGCAAATCCAATTGTATCTTCGGGCCGGTCTGTAAACAATTAATTGTGTGATGTGTCCTGGATGGAATCTAGAGGCATGTAAGAAAGAATAACAGTCGGTAATTACTGGTATAAAGTGGTGGAGATGTGGCCATCATTTAATTGTAATGTAGTTTCAAGGAAGTGGATCTCTTGTGTGGACTGCTCCAGACTAAGGTTAATGGGCATGGAAGTTGTTGAATTCCCTGTGGAATTCTTCAAGGGTCTTCTTCCTGTGGGTCCATATGATGAAGATGTTGTCAACTTAGTGTAAGTAGAGGAAGGGTGTGAAGGTACGAGAGCTGAGGAAATGCTGTTTGAGGTCAGCCATAAAGATGTTGGCATTTTGTGGGCCATGTGGGTGCCAATAGGTGTACCACTGACATGAAGATATAAATTTTCCCCAAATTGTAAATAGTTGTGGGTGATGTCCATAGTGACTTTGAATGGTTCAGTCAATTTGCTTTTATGTATTACTAGACACGTCATATTTTTCATAGAAGCTCTGATTTATCCTTCCTTACAAGTTGAAGAAGGGTTCCATAATGGTGCAGCAATTTCCAGAAAAAAGTTCTATCCATTGTCCCACAGTTTTCAGAAAACTAAAAAATTCAGATAAAGTGGTGACTGCCATTTGGTCGACAGTTCTTTTATTATTTGATATAGATCTGATTTATCCTGTCTGAACCCTGCCTATTCTTGCTGTACCTTGAATCTATAGTGCATTTGAGAGAGGTTCTTATATATGAGCCATTCTTTTTAGGTAACAAATCTAAGGAATTATCCCAGATTGTTCCATAACCAACTCTACTGACAACTTGATAAATTAAATAGTAAGAAGTCACCAAGACTAGATGGTATTCACCCAAGAATTTTGCAGGAATTCAAATATAAAATTGTAGAACAAATAGTGGTATATAACCAATCATTTAAAACAGCTACTTGTACAAGCTTGACTGGAGGAGAGGTAATGTGATATCAATTTTTAAAAAAGGCTCCATAGGCTATCCTGGCACTTATAGGCCAGTAAGCCTAACTTCAGTAGCAGGTGAATTGAGTAACTTTTGAGTAAAGGATAGAATTATCAGACACACAGATGGGCACAATTTGTTGGGGAGGAGTCAACATCGCTTTTGTAAAAGGAAATCATGCCTCATCAATCCATTATCATTTTTAGGGGGCAACAAACACTTGGACAGAAATTATCTAGTACATATAGTGTATTTAGATGCTCCCAAAGCCTTTGATGCAGTCTGATGCAGAGTTCCAAAAAGCTCTTAAGCAAAATAAACAGGCACAGTAAGAAGGAAGGTCCTGTCATAGATCAGTAAGTGGTTAAGAGAAAAAAGGTAGAATAAATGGGCAGTTGGAGAAATGTAAATAGAGGTGTCCTATAGGGATCTTTACTGGGATCAGCACTGCTTAACATATCAATAAATTACCTGTAAAAAGGGCTAAATAGTGAATTGACAAAGTCTGCAGATAATACAAAAATACTCAAGAAGGTTAAGTCTAAAACAGACCGTAAAGAGCTATAAAGGGATCTCACTAAACTGGGCAAGTGACTGGGCAAGAAAATGGCAGATGAAATTTATCACTGATAAATGCAAAAGGCACATTAGAAAACAAAATCCCAAGAATACATACAAAATGGTGGCCTCTAAAATAGCTGTCACTACTCAAGAAACAACTTAGAGTCATCGTGGAGTTTTCTGAAAACATCAGCATAATGGGTAACCTCAGTCAAACAAGAAAATAGAATACTGGGTATCATTAAGAAGATAATAAAACACAAGATATCATAATGACATTATTTAAATTCATGTTATGCCAATATCTCAAATACTGCCTGTACTGTTCATCCCATTTAAAAAAAGATATACAAGTTCAACCTCCTAAAATCCAGGACTCTCTAGTCCGGCCACATCCATGGTCCAGCAGGATCACGAATGTTGCTGGACCAGAGAGCCCTGTGTCTGGAAGTATGAGCTGGTTGGGAGTCCAGCAGTGGGGAGCCCCATTCTGGGGAGCCCCAGCTGGGTTCAGAACAGTGGGGCAGCTGCAGAGCTCTGACCCAGTGGGGCAGCCACGGAACCCCATCCCTAGGAAGCCAAGGCCAGGTGCAGCAGCGGTGGGGCAGCCACAGAGCCCCATTCCTGGGAAGCCCTGGCCAGGTGCAGCAGCAGCAGGACCGTGACGGCTGGGGAGCTCTATTTCCAGAGAGCCCCAGCTGGCAGCAGCAGGGCTGAAGCGGAGCCAGCGGTGGAGAGGAGCAGTGTCCTGGAAGGATGTTGGCAGGGGACCTCACCAATCTAGCAAATTCCCTCATTTGGGACAGGTCAGGTCCCAAGGATGCTGGACCAGGAAGTTCCAATATTAGAATTAGAAAAGGGCAACAAAAACTATTAGGGGAATGGAACAGCTTCCATATGAGGAGATATTACAAAGACTCCGACGTTTCAGCTTGGAAAATAAATAACTAAAGGAGGTTATGATGAAGGTTATGTTATTTCCTGAAAATAACACAAGAAATAGGTGTCACCCAGTGAAATTAATAAGCAACAGGTATAAAGCAAACAAAAGAAAGTATTTCACACAACACACAATCAACTCATGCAACTCATTCCTAGAGGGTATTTTGAAGGTCCAAACTATAATAGGGTTTAAAAAAGAGCTGGATAAATTCATGGAGGATAAGTCCAGTAATGGCTGCTAGCCAAGATGGGCATGACTGCAACCACATGCACTAGGTATCCCTAACCTCTGACTGCTAGAAGCAGGGAATGGATGACAGGGGATGAATTCACGCCTGTTCTGTGCATTCCCTCTAAAGCATCCGGCATTGGCCACTGCTGGAAAATAAGATACACGGCCAGCTAGAACAATGCTGTAATCCAGCATGGCTGTTCTTATGAATTTATTTCCGTTTTTCTACCAAAAATACTATGCATAAACGCATATCTGGTATAGACATTAATTCAATGCCCTTTCAGTTTTTAGACTGAGGTCTCTCTTCTTTGGCAGCTTCATTATATGACCTCTTTTCCACTCATTTGGTAATGTTTTGTTATTTCCATATTTTTTGTAAGAGACCTATCAAAATGCCTGTGTTCTTCAAGTCTCATAAAGACCTCTGTTGAAATGCTACCTGGACCTCGTGTCTTTTCACTTTTTAACTGATTCACTGTCCCCTCTACTTCTACTCTGGTGATAGATTCTAGTTTGATGCACTGACTTTCTCTTTCTTCTATATCCAGGGGGGAATGCTCACATGCTCACTGTTCAGTAGATGAATAAAGTACTGCCTCTATACATGTTTTATGTCTTTATTACTATGTTTCCCTTGTTGTCTTGGTTGGTATTTGTTTTTCCTCCTGAAAACTATTGAATTATGTTATTGACGATCTGCATATCATTTTGTGGTATCTGATGCCATTTTATCTAGAAATTCTCATTTGTCTTTTCTAGTATTCATTTAGGACCTGCACTCTTTATGGTATATTCCCCTTGGAATAAATGGGCATGTGGGTTCTTTGTCTTACTTGATTTTGATTCAGTTTAATTTTGCCTCCTTTATTGCTGAATTTGTACCCTCAGAAAAACAACCATTCACTATGGTGTTTCTTCTGAATCTCAGTACTTCTTCAGAAGTCTTAGTCATAGTTTCCTTTGTCTGCTGGAATTTGCCTTTCACAATTTCATCATCTTCAAGCACCTGATATTTACTTGCTGATACAATTCTAAGCTCTTGTTGTATTGTTATCTGTTTTATCTTGATGATGATTTATAATGCAGGCATCTCTGTCATTCAGACCTTTTTTAGTTTTTATTCTCAATTTACTTATCTTTAATACATAATCTGTTCCCATATCTGCCTCATTCCTTCTATGTACATCTTCCAATGCTCTTCTACATTTGAGCCACATTGTAATGTTATTCATTTGGTTCCCTGTTCCGTGATTTGGTGACTTCTAAGTTATTTTATTAATAGTATGGTAAAGGAAGATATTTCTTCCAGTGACCAGGCCATTCAATTTCACAAAAATCAACCACTTTTACATTTTCTTTCATTTCACTCAGGTCTTGTTTCCCTATAATTACTTCCTTACAGTATTATTGTTCCTTACTTCATCATTCATACCTAGGTCAAAGGATTGGATCCAGACTGAAATCAGCCACTGGCCCACCTAGTAGGGTGATTGGAAGTGAGCTAATGACTCACTACTATAAGAAACAAAGTTGTTAGAGAAATCTACTCTGCCCCTCAGTTCAACAAACTCAGTCCAACTTAACTCCATTCAAATACACTTAAAGAGGTAATGATATGAAATGGTCAAATTCACAAGGAGGCTACTCTGCTGATGAATTTGCTCTTTCCTAAACCTGTAACCGAAATTGGTAGATGGGCTGTGCAGTGTGAAGGAACACGCCCTCCCACTGGAAGCAAGGAGGTTAATGAGCTACTCTGGGCCTCTATTGCTGTGATTAACCAAGGCAGGCCATGTAACACACCCAGAAGGAGGTGGGAGATAAACCCTATGAAGCAGCAATAGACAGATCTTATAATGCTCTATCCAGAGCCTTCTGAGAGGCTGAACACTGTTCCAGCCAGACCCTCCTCTCCAACGGGGGAAAGGGAGAAAAGGAGGAAGAAAAAACAGTTCTCTGGGTTACTCCATCTAGAATCAAAGAATAATGTGAACCTGTCCTGGCTGAGGGGGTGTATGTGTGCGCATATGTGCATAGTACTACCATGTGAACACTATATAATCTCAGTAAAATGGTCCAAATATAAAGTAGATATACTAGGCCTAAGTGAAATGAGATGGGTAACATCAGGACAAATGCCTTTTTGTCATCTGAACACATCCTACTATATTTTGGGTTACCAAATGTCAGTGACATACACAGAAATGGCAAAGGTTTTTACTACTAAGGAGGGCAGCCAAAAGTCTGATAGAATGGGCATGACTTCTAGAAAGAATTACAACAGTACAATTTACATCAACATTCTAGAATGTGTCCATTATTCAAAGTTTTGTGCATCAACAAATCAAATTAGCCAAGAGAAAAAAGAAAACTACTTGTGACTACAGTAAATAATAGACATCCTAATAAGAGATGTTTTCTTAGTAAAGGCAAGTAAAATATTACCATTTTAAAAATGGGGAAGCAGAGGAACAGACAGATGAAATGACATGTGCACTGTTACCCAGCAGGCCAGTGGCAGATATAGAAAGAGAACTTGGATCCTCTACGTTCCCACTGAATGCCCTGTCTACCACACAATACTGCCTCCCAGTGATGCTAGGTTATATTGAAACTTAACTTTATTTTTAAAATGTTATGATTTGCGCAACATAACCACAAAAGCAGAGAAATTAAAACTGAATATGAAAGTTCAATCCTTCATTTAAAAAACACAAGTTGAGTGCCTGAAAGACATGCCTGTTTTAGTTTTGCAATTTCTGACTTCAGTTTGAGTCATAGTCTTCGTTTAAAAGACTAGTCACAGCGCAAAAAAAAAAGGCACATTATTCACATGTACTAATTACTCATGATATACTTCTGTGCACCCCAAAACAATTAATTCCATAGGAAAAGTTAACACTCCCCCCGACTGTGCACAATAGTTTAAAAATCTACATATTTTGTCAAAATAACTTGATACAATTATACCAGTTTCAATTATTTTGGCAATTTATTTCAAAATATCTCTCAGGAAATATTTTTGTAATGTCAATTGTCAACAAAAAATTCAGATTTTTTTTTAAACAAATAGATTCCTTACTAGGCACATAAATACAGAACAGAGAAATACATTTAAACTATATTACAAAAACATACTTCCTGCATCCCTCAAAAGCACTGAAAAGTCTTGGGAGAGTCAGGGTAATGGAGGACCCGAGGGAGAGGAAGAAGCTTGGGAGTGAAATTGGAAGGTTACTGGCTATGAGTGAGAGAAGTATGGAAAAAGGGATGTGGGGGGAGTGGGTTATTAGGGAGTTAGGAAATCTTCCCTATCCAGACCCTAGCTGAGCTCTAGCCTCTGCCCTTCAGTTAGACACTTCTTCCCTTTCCTCCATGTGTCACTGAAGCCCCTTTACGTCTTGTTCCCACATAGTGAGGCAGCCTCCGTTCTGTGTCGCCATGTGGCCCTGCATTCTCGCTCCCATTCAACCTTTGGCTTAATGCTGTCACTGTACTAGCTCCTCGACCTGTAGGCCAGTCTGTTCTCCCCCCTAACACAATTAACTCCTTACTGAACTCCAGTCTGTAACTCCCAGCAGCCCTGTGTGCATTGCTCTATCCTGCTCACGCTTCCTCACCTGGCCCCACTTCGCAGCTGCCAGCAAACTATCCTCTCTTCTAATGCCATAGCCACCCTGGGTGAAAGGTATAACTTCAGAGCCTCCCCAGCAGAATATATATTCTGCAGAGAAAAAAAAATCTGCAGGATAAGGGAAGCAGGGCAGGAATTCTGCATGTGTGCAGTGGCACAGGATTTCCCCACAAGTAATGCATGCATGCATGGGAAAGGCCAGGGATTCTGAAAGCAGTACACAAGTGAGCTTTCAACTAGAAATGACACACAAAAAGATTTAGAAAATACACTTACCGCATGTAAAAGTTGGTTTAATGATCCATTTGTCATATATTCGGTTACTATTCCCAGAAATTCAGGTTCATTGCAAATTCCCAAAATAGGCAGAATGTAACTGAATCTGGCTTTATGTAAAATCTCTGCTTCTTTTAAGAGATTGTTTCTTTCACTGCAATAAGAAAAAATATTAATCAAGCATAAGAAATACTCAATGATGATTTAGTTTCTTTACATATAAGTAATGTAAAATACAAAGACATGGTAAAGAAAAGTAAATACCAATATAAGTGTAAACACTCAGATGATAGGTGCATTGAATAAGATTTACAAAATTAATATCTCATTACGTGAAAAACTTGACAATATAACATTTTATTTGCTACAGTGCTGCCTGTATACAATTATCACAAAATGTTTCACAACAGATTACTATCTTTGGTGCAAATACATGTAAACCAGATGGATTATGTTTTACTACACATTAGTGTTGACATATATGCTAGAACAGGAATTTAATTTTTCAGCAAGAATAACTGAGCCTTGCTGTGGCAGGCTGCCTTTCTGGTATTTGTATTCTTGGCTGTATTTCTCGAATACTGAAAACATAGTACAATGGGTGCCATTAAGATTTCCAAATTTATCACCTTAGCCAACTGTAGTAACAATTAATATCTGCTTGTAATTTTGGCACATGGTGGTACCACCATAACTACAAATGGAAATTTTCAGTTATACTCATTGATTTTTTTTTTAAGTATAAAATGAGAAATTCCCATATTCATGTCATGAATCCAAGCTAATGGAATTCAAAAGGTCTTTAGCTTCTTTCACTGAACAGATGCTGGTGCACCTTCAGAAAATACAAGTTAAGATAAACATAATCAGTGAAAACACACTTATTAAAAAAGGGAGAAGAGAAATGGTTCAAATTAAGTATTCTTGGTTAACAAGAAAACTATTCCAATTTTGCCTATCAAATAAAAAAATATCAAAAACTGGTTATGGTCCTGAAAGACATCAAAAGCAACACAACTGACAGGAAATGCTTTTCAGTTTAGTTGGAGATATACTGTCTGTGCTGTTTGGAGGAGAATATTACAGTTTAATATTGGTCTTTAATTCCAAAGAACAATACCTGTATTAAGAAAACTGATTCATGCCTTCAAGACCATGGGAAATGCTTGATAATGCGATCTCAGGGGACCTACTGATTTTTTTAAAGGGGTAGGAAGCAAAGAAGTCAAAATATGGGGAAGAATTGTTTTTAATATCAAAATGTAAAACAAATAAAGTTTTGGAGTTTGACCATAGTGGGGAGAACAGACTGACATCATTCATAAGAAGGGAGGCTAGGGCTATGGTTACATTGCACAGCTTATAGCAGCAAAGATGTACAGCTGTAGCACTGCTAGTGAAGATGCACTAAGCCGGGGTGGGCAATAATTTTTGCATGGGGCCACTACATAGATTTTAGAAGTTGCCAGGGACCAGCAGAGAGGGCAGATCTCAGGGGAGGAGGGAAGGGGGGGTGGATGAGTGAGTGTCACAGAGACTGGGTGTGTGTGTGGCACAGACACCGGGCATGTGACAAACTGTGTGTGCATGTATGTGAGACAGAGAGAGAGAAAAAGGGCTGGCTGCTAGAATAATCTTAGAAACAGCTTCTTTAAGAAGCACTGCTCTAGGTCACCATTCATATCTTCTTAATAGATCAGCTCTCCTGTGTGTCCCTCTTCCCAACTCCTGCTCAGCAGAGATGGGGTATAGAGGCAGGGGGATACTCTGACATCAGCACTCTGCTCCCATCATCCCTCCACCCCGGCATAGCTAGCAAGGGAGTTCAGGGAGCAGCTCTGCAGAATAGGGCATGGTGGGGGTAGGGCAGCTGAACACATGTTGCTGCTGCTGCTGCTGCTGCTAGTTGTAAGTATGTAAGCTCATCAGCTGGGCAGACTGGATAGAAATGTTAGGCAGGCTGAATTCGGCCCGTGGGCCGTATTTGCCCATCCCTGGTCTACGCCAATGAGAAAGCGCTCTCCTGTTGACTTCATGGCTCCAGCCCACACAAGAAGCTCTCTTGCCGACATAGCACTGTCCATACCAGTGCTTAGGTTGGCATTATTTATGTTACTCAGGGGAGTGGCTTATGCACACTCCTGAGTGACATAATTAATACCAACATAAACAGTAGTGTTTACACAGCTTGAGCAATGAAAAGGAATTAAACCTAGACTTCAAGTCAATGGAGTTCTGCACAGGTACAAGGATCTTTCCATGACATACGACAGCAGGATTTGGAGGCCTAAAGTTTAAAAAACCTCTTAGAATCTGGGGGTAAAAAGAGACTCTTGGGAAACTATTATTAGTTTTATTACATAAAAGTTTAGAATTTATACGATAGTGAGACAAAATAGTGCCTTAGCAAAGGAGTGTAACATCAGGCCTTGAAGTCAAGTAGGTATAGACAAACAGAAAATGTTTCTGATGTTAAAAGACAACAGGGTCTTGTTACAAAACACTAAAAAAAATGAGGATTAAAAACCAGTTTGAAGCATGGGGAAAATCTGGAAAATCCATAAATGACTAAGTCTGACATATAAGAAGGGGTTTTCCCAGCCTAACTCCATAAGGAATATTCTGTACTGGACTCTAATGTAAACAGGAAAGCAAGGTAAATTTCTAGGAGGAAGTGATGTGTACTTTTTTCTAGTAAAGTTGAGAAGTTGGGACAGCTCATTTGGGATAATCTAGAATTGCAGGAGACATTAAAAAAGACAGAATTATAGTGATCAGGTAGAGGTGATGAAGACAGAAAATTGGTTGAGCATCTGATGCTTCATGGCAGTAAGTTTTCCAAGGCAACAGTAAAAGATATTTACTCCTAAATGATGGGAAGCAAGAGTTTGAATGACAAGACACTGAACAATCTGTCCTTATATTTTACATTTACCATTTATTAGCATTTGAAGTTCATTTCTTTACTAACTTTTATCTAGACTCAGCAGAATGATTTCTCATTTTTTATGCTTTACATTTACTTTGGGGAACAACAAGACTAATATAAAAAAACACCTTTCTCGGCAACCACTACTTTGCAGTAGCTGAAATAGGAAAACTTAAAGATCAATATGTAACATTTGCCAATTCAATTTTAAAAAGTAATATGACAACTGGCTTTTTGATATATGTTGGAAAAAGCTCTGTTGTCAAAGATAATGTTCACAACTCTGATCAATCTCTGGTTGAAAAAGCTACCTTTGAATATCTGGGGTTGTCGGTCTGTGGCATTTGCTTTGCCGTGCTAAAAAAAAAAATCACAAGTTCACTGTATATGACAAAACTATGTCATCAGCTAATGAATGCATCTGGAACACAGCTGATCAGACAAAGGAAAAAAGATCTGATGACCTATTAACATGGTAAAAAGTCTCAGAGGGGTAGCTGTGTTAGTCTGTAATCTACACAGCAGAGCTAAAGTGGAAGTAAGCTATGCAACCTGAGCTATGTCAATTGTGTAGCTTAAGCTGAAATGTTGGCACCGTCTACACAGCAGGAGGTCCCAGAAAAAGCACTTTTTCTCCAACTTCCCTCATTCCTCCTACAATGAGGGTTATAGGAGTTGGGAGTCAGAAGTCCTCCAGCTCTACATTATGTCGAAATAACTGCTTGTAGTGTAGACGCAGACTATGTTATTTTGGAATGTCAATTATTCTGAAATAACACTGCTGTGTAGACATAGCCTAACTGTAAAAATGAGGAGTCTTGTTGCACCTTAGAGACTAACAATTTATTAGGTCATAATCTTTCCTGGACTAATGACCTAACAAATCTGTTAAGTCTCTAAGGTACAACAAGGCTCCTCATTGTTTTTCCTATTAGCATCACAAACCATCACAAACTCCACAAAGCAATTGAGCAGCCCTGAACTGATGCAGGGTTTGCTTCCTTTTCACTTTGTGCTTGGAACAAAGGGGAAGACGTGGGCCTCCCTGTACCAGTGCTCTAGAAATGATAAGTATGAAGAGGAAGTGGAGGGTTGAATAAAACGGCGATTCCGCAGGCCAGTATGGCCACACTGGCAGCGGGTCTGCGTGCCCTCTAAGCCCTCCAGTTCGCCTTGCTCTTAACCTTATTAGGGCCAAAGAAGCGCTCATCTCCTCACAGCCTCGGGCCCTTAGAGTAACTTCCACTGCCCGTCGCGGGGCCCACAGGCAGGTACAAGCCAGGCCTGTTGATGCGGGATAAAGCTCAGGAAAGATTAAGGCGGGATCAGCTCGCAGGGGCGAGTTAGCGAGCAGCAAGTGGCAGGGCTCCCAGGGGAGGGATCAGGGCCCTGGGTGCGAGGTGACGAGCAGCCCAGGCACCGCTCCCGGCCCCAGCCTGGGGGCAATCCGTGTGTGTGGGGGGCAGAGCCAGGAGCAAAATTCCCCGCCCGAGCCCGCGTTACCTGTCCAGCAGCGGCCCCTGCAGGCACTTGATGGCCACCGGGACCCTCCAGTCGGCGTGGCGCGCCGAGGACACGGTGCCGTAGGCGCCGCGGCTGAGGAAGCGCAGGTCGGGCAGCTTGCTGGAGGGGATGGTGGGCAGCGCGCAGCTGATGCTGCGGGACAAGGCGCCGTCGCCGCCGCCGTTCATCCTCGCGCCAGGCCCCGCGGTCGCCGTCTCGGCCCGGCTGCTGCCCGCTGACGCGGGCGGGGAGGCGGCTCCGGGCGGCCGCCAGAGGGACTCGCAGGAAGCCGGGTTCCGGGTTGGCTGGCTCCGGCCTCTCCCTGCCCCCACGCACGGGGGAAGGGCGCGGGGACGTGCCCAGAGCGCCCCCTGCCCGGCCGGCCGGCCCCGCTCTAGCCCTGGTCTGGGGGCGCTACACCGGCGAAGCTCGCTCCAGCCACTGAACCTCCTCGCCCCGCCTCCGGCCGCTCAGCGCGGCTGCGGCCCCTTCCCGGCTCCGCGCTTGGCTACCCCGGCGCGGGGCTACTAGTCGCCCCCCCGATTCCCCGGCTCCGGGCGCTCGGTCTTGCAGCCGAAAGAGCCTCCCTGCGGCAACATCGCGGCCGCCACTCCAGCCCCGCTCCCCTCCGGGAGCCTCCACGCAGCCCGGGGTGAGGAGGGCGACGGGCGCCCCCCCATGCAAAGCCAGGGGAGCCCGACTGGCCAGGGACAGGAGCTAGGAGAGCGCCGCGCCCAGCCAAGCCTGCTCCTGCTGGGAGCAACATGCGCACAGGCCCCCTCCCTTCTCAGCTGCTCCCGACGGCGCGGGGAAGGCGGCGGCAGGGCAGGAGGCCTCCACCCACCTCTTCCGGGAAATCGGCGGCTTGTTGAAATCAGGACAGTGCGAACCAGAGCGGAGGGGGAGATCCCGCACGGGCAGGCTGGCGGGGGCTTGACGCTGCAGAGGGGGCTTGCGGGAAGGGAGATATTGAGACAAAGTGGAGCAGTGCCTGGAGAGGTTTATTGGTGGTGTCTCTGCTCTCTCGGACTAAGTACCAGCTGGAGCGCGTCATTATTGTAGCAACACTTTGGTAACTGTCAGAAGTAAGTATCAGTGGCAAGGGTGTTACTGTACTGTCTGGTAACTGGTTTTGATCACGTGTAAATGCCAAGCGAGGGAGGAGTGCGCGGTAGGAAACATTGAAACAAAGCTTTTAAAGCGTTCTCAGTTCTTTATATACGCTGTTCGTAAAGTACTGTATGGCTAAAATGAAGGAAAGCCAGAACATAAAGCATTTGTCCATTTAATATTTATTAAAGTGTTGCACGTTGCTGTTTTTCCTTGACAGATTTTCTGTTATTCTTGTTGCCTGGTGGGCTTCAGATCAGGAACAACTGGGTAAATGCTTAATTTCAAAGTGAGGTTAAAGCTGAAGGCTACGTCTAGACTGGCATGATTTTCCGCAAATGCTTTTAATGGAAAAAAAGTGTTTCTGTTAAAAGCATTTGCAGAAAAGAGCGTCTAGATTGGCACGGACGCTTTTCCACAAAAGCACTTCTTGTGGAAAAGCATCCATGCCAATCTAGATGCGGTTTTGTGCAAGAAAGCCCCGATCGCCATTTTTGCCATCGGGGCTTTTTTGCGCAAAACAGTTTTTAGCTGTCTACACTGGCCCTCTTGCGCAAAAACATTTCCAGAAAAAGGCTTTTGCCCGAATGGAAACGTCAGAGCATTTGCGCAAGAAGTACTGATTTCGGAGAGTAGAACGTCAGTGCTTTTGCACAAAATCAAGTGGCCAGTGTAGACAGCTGGCAAGTTTTTGCGCAAAAGCGGCCGCTGTGTTTGGGAAGAGTGTGGCTCCAGCAACCATGAGTGTATTGTCCCTTGCTTCATGTTGAGCTGCTGAAAATACCAAGCTGCACAAACCTTTTTAAGTAACTTTTTTTGAGTGCTCTTATGTTAAAAGATCATCCCTGTGTCCCCTTCAATTGCTCTGGTATGGTAAGGGGTGTGGTATAAGAACAACAGCTAAATAGAATCTTCATTTTCTCCTGTTTAAATACTGAGAACTGGAAGCCAGTAATTGAAAGCTGTAGATTGCTGGGTTTTTCTGAATCTCACTTCCACTTATATTTTCATAAAATACTAGGGTAGATGGACCAGATTAAAATGATATTTGTCAAAATAGCAGCTCTTGTATTATTTGGGTGTTTGTTTCTTATAGAGATTTTTTGGTGTACTGCTATTTTTCAAGTAGCAATTAGTTAACTCCCAACTCTGCAAATATATATCTGACCAGGCCAATACAAGTCCACTTGGCGGCACAGCAGGACTGGCAGGCTCCCTACCCGGTTCCATATAGCTCCCAGGAAGTGGCCAGCAGGTGACCATGGGGACTCCACATACTACTTGTCAACTCCTCAGTGCTCATTGGCTGGGAACTACAGCCAATGGGAACTACAGGGGTAACACCTGAAGGTGGGGTCAGTGAATGGAGCCCCTTGCATGTTCCTCCACCTAGGAGTCAGACACATGTTGGCTGCTTTGCATGAGCTGCCTGAGGTCAGTGTTGCCTGGAGCCTGCACCTCAAACCCCATCCTGTACCCAGTCCTCTGTCCCAGCTCAGCACTCCCTCCAATACCCAAATTCTCTCCTTGATCCTCTTCCACCCCAACCCACAGATACTGGAACTAGGGGTGCTGTAGCACCCCCATCTTTAAGTGTGTTTCATTATATCCAGAGTTTACAGTTTGGTTCAATGGCTCTCAGCACCCCCACTGTACAAATTGTTCCAGCACCTCTGTCCCAAGCTCCTGCCCCAGCTCTGAGTCCCCTCCCACACTTTGAACCCTCCAGCCTAGAGCCCCCTTCTGAGACCCAAACCCTTTATCCCTGGCTCCACCCCAGAGTCCATACCCCTGGCTGAAACACACCTTCTCCTGCATCCCAATCTCTGCCCCAGCTTGGTGAAAATGAGTGAGTGAGAGAGTAGGAAAGTGAGCAACAGAGGGAGGGGAGATGAAATAAGCAAAATTGTTCCATTTTCTATTAAGTAGGCAACCCTGTCCCTAAACTTTAAGAAGTTAAGAAGTTGAGGTAAAGAAAGAAGAGAGAGATTCTAAGTGGCCTCCTACAAAAATGGTTTCTAATACATGGAAGACAAAAACAGTGCTGTTTTTAATATCTGTTCAATACTTTTCAACACCTTCCTCTGCTCCTATATTGATCCATTGAAGTATTTGTACCTCTCCATTGCCTTTCTCTTCCCCCAAAAGCTTGGTTGCCCTTTCAGCAACAGTGTATAAGTTCTTTCATTTTCTATTAAAGGAAGTAAATTTGGAATATTTAATAATGCCCGTTATCTTTCTCTCTATATAAAAAACCTTTTCCTGTGGGATGACAGAGTGACAGCACATCACTCTGCGTTCCACAGCCCCTCCTCTCTGAGCCATCCAGCTCTGGGGAAGTGAGATCCTCCCTCCTTAGTGCTCTGGGGCAGCAGCCACGCAGCCTCCCCAGTCTCCCTGATGCTTGGTGAGGGGGGCGGGCCGGGAGCTGCGTGGACTAACTGGTTTTCGGGGGCGGCAGGGGGGACAGCCATGTGACCTCCTCTGTCTCCCTGGAGTTCATTGGGGGCAGGGTGGGAGCTACGCAGCCTCCCTGGCCTCTTTGTGCTCCATGGGATGGGGTGGGAGCCACGTGGCCTGCCTGGTGCTTGGGGACGGGGGGGAGGGCACGGGGTAGGAGATACATGGACTGTCCAGCGCTCTTGAGGGCGGGGTGGTAGGCATGCGGCCTCCTTGCCTTCTCAGTGCTCCAGGGGGCAGCACAGGAGCCATGCAGCTTCCCCAGTGCTAGAGGGAGGCATAGCCACACAGCCTCCCTCCTTCCCGGTGCTGGGGGGCAGGGCTGGAGCCTTGTGGCCTTGCCCTTCTCCCTTCCCTGGTGCTCGGAGGGTGGGTGAGAGTGGGAGCTATGCAGCCTCTCCCCTCCTTGGTGCTCTGGGGTGTGTATGGGAGCAACACAGCCTCCCTTCTCCCTGGTGCTTGGGGGAAGGAGGGTGAGAGCCCCACAGCCTCCTCCCTGTCCCTTCCCCTGTGCTCTGGGAGCCAGAGCTGTGTGGCTTTCCCCTTCCCCTCTCCTCCCCACAGCCTCTCCCCTCCCCAGTACTCTGGGGGGAGGGGGGAGAGCTGTGCAGCCTCCTCCCACATCTGTGTTCCAGTGGGGCAAGGGCCACATGGCCTCTTCCTCCCAGATGTGCTGCGGAGGCGGGAGGGGGGTTGGCAATGTAGCGAGCAGGGGGCACAGCCCCCTAGTAATCTTTAAATAACATGAATTAAAAAGAGCTGTAGGGCTACAAACTGCTACTGAAAAGGCAGTGGTCACTTTGTAGGGAGAGAAACAGTTTAAAAACTACTGCTTTCTTTTTCCAGGCCCACATCCCCAGCTACCTCTCGTCCCTCCTCCCCTTAGCCTTGTCTACACTACAGTTTTGTTTGCAAAAGTTATGTCAACACTCAAAGTGCTATACAAAAAAGCAGTATTGCATATTCACACTACACTTCTGTTGGCAGAGTGCGCCTGCACTTGGAGCACTAGCACTGACAGTGTGGGTACCTATCCCATAGCCCAGCTCAACATCCTTTGCCACTCTGTGCCATGGGAAGATGGAGCAGATTGCAGCACATGCTGGGATTATGCTCAACGTCCCAGCTATCTATGGGGTTCTGGTTATATTTTGCAGTACTTTTCAATGGCTTTTTTTTGCTGTGCACCCCAGCATATCTGTGTGATGGGACAGATCCATCACTAGTCCCTGGTGCTCTGATTACTGTCATTAACATATTTCAGCTTCCAGTGCAGTTAATCATGAAGTTCTTGATTGAACAGGACTCCCAGTTGCCTGGCCTGTTGTGATACGGGTAGGAAGACTTTAGATTTCCTTTGTCATTCAAAGAATAGCTGCACAAGGTAGACTGTTTTTTTGGGGCTTGGGAAACAAGCATTGAGCAGTGGGATCATATTGTCTTGCAGGTCAGGGATAAGAAGTAATGGCTGCAAAACATTTGAGTGTGAAAAGCCACCTTCAAGGAACTGTGTGCGGAGCTCACCTCAGCACTGCGATGCAAAGACACCAAAATGAGCTGTGCCCTGTTAGTAAAGACAAGCATAGTGATTGCAATGTGGAAGCTGGTTACTCCATACTGCTACCAGTCAGTCAGGGATCAGTTTGCAGTTGCTAAGTTGACTGTTGGGGCTTTGTTAATGCAAATGTGCAGTTCCATCAATCACATTCTGCTACTAAGGTCCATGACTTTGGGAGATGTGTGTGAAATAGTAGATGGCATTGCAGAAATGGGTTTCCTTAACTGTGAAGGCGTTATAGACGGCACACTCATTCTAATTTTGGCACCAGACCACCTTGACATGGAATACATCAATAGGAAGGGATACTTCTCTATGGTGTTGCAGGTGTTTGTGGATCACCGTGGCTATTACAGTGACATCAGCATGGGGTGGTTCAGCAAGGTGCATGACACATGCATCTTTAGGAACACCAGCCTGTACAGATGCAGCCTATACAGACTTTTTTTCCAGACCATAAGTTTACAGTGGGGATTGTTGAAATGTGCATAGTTATCGTGGGAGACTCAGCATACCCCTTATTGCCTGAGACTTTACATGATAAGCCCGGATAGCAGTAAGGAGTGGTTCAGCAACAGGCTCAGTAGGTGTTGAATGACTGTGGAATGTGCCTTTGGCAGATTAAAGGCATGCTGGTGATGCCTTTGACAGGCTAGCCCTCAATGAAGATAATGTTTCCATGGTCATAGCTGCATGTTGTACTTAGCATAATATTTGTGAAGCTATGGGTGAAAGATTTGCTAAGTGGAGGAATACTGAGGCAGACTGCCTGGCTGCTGATTTTGAGGGCTATCAGAGGGGCTTTCAGACACTTTGAAAATGAAAACCAGTAATATGAAAATGAAAACCTTCTCTTGGCAGGCCCACTGATTGAGAGAGGGGGGAATGAGGGGAAAGGAGGCAGCTCCCTCCGGCCAAACCCCTACCATCCTGCACACCTTCTCAAGGGACCCAGGA